ACATATGGCAATGACTCCCAGCGATAGTGTCAGTAAAAGCCAGTCAGTTTACAAATGTGTCAGATATAAATGTTTCAGTGACTCTCAGCTATTGTGTCAGTAAATATCCACATTGTGTAAATGTCGATGTCACAGCTCTGTCAGTAAACACCAAGTAAATTGGGCAAGTTGGGATGCCATTCTTATGTCAGTGGCTAACGTCAATGTCAGTCACGAGCAAACATTTCTTTTGGATAGGATAGTAGCCAAGGGTAGGGTTGTAGCCAATATCAAGTTTCACTGACGTGTACGTTCAGTATGATGCATGGGGATGATTGTCTTTAGCAAAGACATATATCAAGTAAATCATATAATTATGTCTCATAACACGAAACAGCATAGTTGCAGGCTGTAGAGTGATAACAGTCGAGGTGACGAGTTTTTGTTTCTGTAATTTCCTATCATTAACAGTTGTCTTTTCTTGTCTTGTCTTTCAGTGGTCGCATGATTTTGATAGATGCGCAGTACCATGAAGACCTCAGGTCGACGATGGTGACGACTACGACGACGACGGCGACGATGATGGTGATGATGATAATAATGACGATGAGCAACGATGATGATAATGACGATGACTACGACGACGACGACGACGATGGTGATGATGATAATGACGATGACGATGATGATGATGATAACATCGATGACTGAGTGCATCTTTTTTTTCCTTGTGTGGTTAGCCGCTGTAAAGCCTCGAAATGAACACCTCCGCTGCAGCAGATATGCAATAAAACATTCAGCACTGTGGGATTTTATTAAAGGATCAAAGGTATTTTTAGGTGATCTATGTCTTTATATGATCTATTTCGTTATATAATCTTTCATTTGTTGTTTCCCATGCATCTCGCTCTGAACCACCAAGCCTTTGATGACTTTGAAATATTTCCAAAGCATTTCGTCCCTCGACTGCACGATGCAACATATAGACCACGATTAACAACTGCATATTGTCTCTCAAGGACACCTGGGTTTTTTTTCTCTCACCGACGCAAGCAAAGAGCATATTATTCAAGTATAATTGTTACATGGTCAGTTCACAAAGCAACGTTCCTAAACCATGTCCCTTTCCTTTGTGACTTCGTTCTTTATATCCCTGCGTCACGATTGTGGAATATCTTTTTTTTATTTTTATCAAAGAATATTAGAATAGGGAGGTCAATCTGGTTTCTAAAAAGTGTATCATGTACGTTGACTGACTGACTGACTGAGTTTGGTTTTACGCCGCTTTTAGCAATATTCCAGCAACATCACGGCGGGGAACACCAGAAATGGGCTTCACACATTGTACCCATGTGGGGATTCGAACTCGGGTCTTCGGCGTGACGAGCCAACGCTTTAACCACTAGGCTACCCCACCGCCCCTCATGCACGTAGAAGATACTCGCATCTACGAAGGTCATACAAATATGATTTACTTAAATGTTTGGCATCATATTAAACAATCGTCAATGTTCAGTATTGAAAACTATATAAGCTTAAACACGTTTTAACCAGATGTTACCACATTGAAATAGAAAGTTATTTTATTCAATGTTCAGATAGCATCTCAATAAATACATCTATTTGAAAGTCAAACAATTTTGTTAGCATTAACTAAAGCGACGGTTACATAATCAGACCCGGAACTATTGTGGACTACTCGAGTGAGTGAGGGAGGGAGTGTAATTTTACGCCGCTTTGAGCAATATTCCAGGAATTTCACAATGGGCTTCACACATTGTCCCCATGTGGGGTCTTCGGCTTGACGGGCGAACGCTTTAAATACTAGGCTGACCCACCGTATCGTGGATTACTCGGGAAAATATGTTTATGATATAAGTATAATGATATTAGTGATTTGATTGGCAATTATTTCATTTGAAGCTTCACATATCCACATCGTATATTGCCAAATGAACTACAACCTAAGTATGCTATGACCGGATTTGCAGATATTTCCAAACATGAGTTCAAATTTTGACACCTCAGTAAATGCTTGAATTATGGACATTGTCTTAAACGAGACACGAGGAAATGAAACATTCAATGGTTTCCATGCCTTCCATACCTTATAAACTTATGTGCACTACAGGTATGTATTTGAACAGTTAATGTGTTAATACCGAAACTAGAACTCTAAATATTGCTTGAATATTGCTAACAGCGGCGTAAAACCATACTCACTCTACAATATGAAATACTGTGTTCTCAGTTTATAAGTTTACAAATGCTGACACCTTCGCAATGACGGCCCATGTGACTTTCTTAAGCTTCTTCCGATGAGGATCTATCTACGCAAAACATGTTATGCAAGCGGACATCCTTTCATTAGGTTACCAGCGTGATCTCGTCCCTTCAGCCGGTTGTCAGTTCTTCAGACAAATGTGAATAGGAGAAAAGGGCTCCAGGCAAGTTTTGCGTTATTATCTTTGCCATGGCATTTAATACCATTTGGAGATAAACACTATATTATTAGGCTCTCAGTTTGAAACCAACGACTAAATTACAATAAACGAGATGCATCCATGCATTATTCAATGTACAGTAGATCATGATTTCCCCATTCAGTCAGTAACAAGTAATCTGTAAGAAATATTTGTGTAAGCAAGCTGATGAAGATATTTTAGGTAATTATGTATTACGTGTTGTAGTACGTTTCGGGTATTTAAAATATCCATGCGTATTTGTACTTGTAACTCAAAGTTAAAAGTTTTGTGCTTGAAGTTCTTGAAAGGCATTTAGACGTTGGACAAACATGAATACATGACACGTTTTTATGGATAACAACTTCTTTTATTCTTTATACGTCCTTTCAGAGCTAATTCTTGCTCCTTCATCAGGTGATCTACCATCAGGGTATTATCCATAAAAACGTGTCATGTATTTAGATTTGTGTTTGGTTACAAATTTAGATTTTAAGCAAATGCGCAGCTTATCTAGAGGTCTGGAGAAGTGACGTAACATCTTGTAAAGATACCTCCCAACCTTCCCGTTTCCGCTTTGGAGAATGTAAATATGATATCACACAAGCACATTGCACATACTATGTATATGGTGGACGTGTACGCGCGAATACGCCCGAGTTATAGTAAACTATTAAGTTGCCTTTGTACTTTCCGTGCAATCAGGCACTTATCAAATATAGTCAATACGTTCATCAGCTTTCAGTGCAGACACTATAAAAAAACAATTAACCACGATTGCTCAACGATATTTCATCAATAAAGTGAACAAATTGCAAGATCTTCTCTTCACTCAGTAAAATATGGAACTATATTTCTAGTACAGCCCGTACGATACCTGGCAAGAAATAGGTGTCTACAACAACATTTCGAAGATGTCACCGGTGGAGCAGATAACACTTGATTGGGTCACGTTTCACACCTCGATCTGCAGGATCCCCTGCTTTTGCACCCACTGGACACCTATGAGATGAAATGGAGAGACGTTTACGTTGTCATTCGAATCCTCGAACACGGCTTCGGGAGTAGTTTTCGGAAATCGTTGGCCTCAAGATGTGTGCCGTGTATGAAGACCAGTCCTGTGCTTGCAGCCATGATGTTGATGGCATTCGGCTGACCACGTACACTCAAGTTTCAGAAAATATATATTGTTCTTCGTAAATAAAAAATATTGGACTCTCCAAACATATCTTGAAAACCATGAACATGAGCCCACCCCGTTCCAGCCCTACCCCTTCCCCAGTCTGTCGTTGTCAATCACGTTATCTCTTACTGTCGTTTGTCCCACCGCCCATGTCCACGACCCTCGCTCTTTTCATGTCTTCATGTCAGCCTCATTGCTTCTGAGCTTTGCTCCCTCAAATAATCTGATTACGCTAGCGACAATTTGTTTTCATTCCCCTTACTTTAACCTTCGACGCAATCTAAAACCTGGATTCCTAGGCGTATCACACAAAGTGGATGCCAGTTTTCAAAGCTGGAGTTATGCCTTCCTCGTGTTGTCCTGATATCCAGATCTAGAGTGTGTCGAGCGTCAACATGATTTACATCCAGTTGACCATGGGTCATATTCACGTTATGTACCAGGATCGATATCATCCACAAGTGTCACAGGCTATAGGCATCATCCCTCGTAACTCAAATGACTGCTTTTGTCAATATGAAATGGAAACCCACATATACCAACGGTTTCATCGAGTACTGTTAACGTTCGTAGTTTAATTAAATTCAACTTGTGAAATCGATGCAGAAACCTTCCCATACCAACGTTGAGCAGAAACCTTGTGAGTGACTTTAGGTTTACGCTGCACTCAGCAATATTAGAGCTATATGGCGGTAAATAATCGAGTCTGGACAGGTGATCACACCATAAGCATTCATCTACTCAATTGGGATACGATGACATGTGTCAACCAAGTCAGCGAGCCTGACCACCCGATCCCGTTAGTACCAGTCGAGGGTGGCTGAAGACCAGTTTTAACCTGGATTCGTCGTGGTAGATAATGTACGACTATTAAATATAATAAGTAACAATATTTGATATATAGTACAAAAGATTATTAGGGAACAACTATCAAAGATGTTCCAGTATGAAATTTAAAACAAACGAAAAGATAGTAAGAATAGCCCGTACTTATTGGTTTTTAAAGAACAAAACAACTTTTTTTTTTTTTGTACTCTTTTAACCATTACATGTGAAAGACGTGTGGTTAGTCTTAAGCGGAACACCATATTCGTTCTTATAAATCTTGTGGTTAATTAAGTAGTTTTAATGACGGGTTTTCATATATAACGATGCCAATTAGTGATTTATGTATTTCTACCCCCCTAGAGTATATGTAATCTTTAACATTAACAATTATCCATCTCAGCATGCATAAATGAGATGCACTTAAAAGGGGGATAACTCTAGCACTCCCGTTGGTATAACACAATAATAATAAATTCAAATCATAGTAATTGTATAGCATGTCAATAGATGACAGTTTCAAATATCCCGACTCCGCCATCGACCTCGAGCCTCAACACGTTGTGATGATTCAACCGCAATGCAGCTAGTCAATACACGGCTGGGTCCACAATCTCACAACACCTCTACGCGTAGCGTCGGCCCCCACTTCCCGAGCCTCCGACAACCTCTTGGTATAGTCGCGTAGCTGTTGCTGATCGGTTGTACGGCGTCACCGGTCTGGAACTAGCAGTGTCCGTCACTAGGTTGAAGACTACATGCCAGTGCTATGCATCAGTGCTTAGACAGATTGTAATGCGGAAAGGGAGTCGCTTCCTCTAGAATTACGCTCTGTGAGTCCTGGCGTATGAAGCGTGAGTCAGTTCCCGGGACATATCTATGAAGACGGTTGTGGGCTAAACGCTTCGTGTGGATGCTGAGGATATTTAACTTATCAGGTATGTGAGCAAGCTTTGCTGACTGAATCCTGTGTGTGCGGCACTATGCATTTCGTTTCAGGTTTCCTTGGAATTTGCAAGAGAACACCCCACAGAACCGTATAGCATTGATAATGGGATTCCCAAGACAATAGTGGTTAGAACTGTGTATCAATTGACATGAAGTTGTGCTGCGTGAATTGATTTTGTTTTGTTTATTATCAGAGCTGATATCGGTAGTTTTATATGTGTTAACAAGTTGAGTGGTAGTGTAGGTAACCAAAACTGTGAATTATTAACGTTCGTGTCAACGTGACATAAGTCTATATACAACACAAGCAATTTCTAAGCCATCGTTACTCACAGATGCCTCACAGTGGAACAGGGCTAGTGAAACAGGTATACATTTTCCTATTAGGATAATAGGCTCGTTTAGCAATTGTGATTACATGTAAATCGATTGACTATTATAGTAATGAATAGTTGCCTTAGCCTGAGAGAGTACGGCAGTGTATGGTAAGGTATGGTGTTTGCGTAGTGACTGAGTAATCAGTGAATGGCCAAGTAATCAAAAGATGACAATAATAAGTAGATGACTGAGTAACCAATAGATTACTGAGTAATTAGTAGATGACTGAGTAACCAATAGATGACTGAGTAATCAATAGAATATCGAGTAATCGATAGATGACTGAGTAACCAATAGACGACTGAGTAATCAGTAGAAAATCGAGTAATCGGTAGGTGACTGAGTAACCAATTGATGACTGAGTAATCAATAGAATATCGAGTAATTAGTAGACGACAGAAATCACTGAGGTAACTGCATTAAACAACTGCCCGCAGACCTTGTGTTGTTCTATTATTAAGTGGTTTAGAATCTTGTAAAAGACTAGACGCAAGTCTAGAAAATGTGGCAAGTCTAGATTTCCTCAGCTTCAGGATGAAGAAAGTCTCAGGGCTCCTTTTCATTATATTTTTTTTTTACTATGAACTTTTTTTCTGTAAAATATGTTCATTTCAGAGACTAGTTGTTAGTCTAACCTCTGTATTGATCCAGTATTTGTCCTTTAACAGTGAGTTACTATCGAGACAACCTATTGTGGTTCTTCATGCTGGGGTGTTCTACATTCACTGAAACCATGTAACTCCTGTTCTTGACATTTCTCTTGGCACGCTCAAATGGGCGTGGCGTTGACCCTGGGGTCAGAGGGTGGAGGTCAGACGCAACGCTTTGTTGACAAGGACAACAATAAACAGCGATGGGGGCTACACAGAACAATTATCCAGCGTAAAAATCAATCTCAGCAAGAAGGACATGATTCAGGTAGCAGGAATGCCAGGGAGCACTTGAGTGCGTTCTGCAGGGTCAGTGTGATAACGCTACGATCATCGCATGCTGTGTCTGATGGTACTATCTATGGAGATTGTCATTATTCAGGATTCAGAAGCCCCAGAGGACTATTTATTCCACACTATATTCTAACTCGTGATGTAGGTCACCGATCGGAAGCACTACCGAGATAAACTATTTCAGATTGCTATCCGCGAATAGCAACAGGCCCGTCAAGAATGCCGAGCATGTGTACAACACTAACATTTGTATCTGTCTGTGTGATCTAAACAAAGAACACCAATGTAAGTAAACGAAATACTTATAGCCTCATTACACAGTGTAAACATAGACTTGAGGCGACAATTCATTTTCGTAGAATACGGATTCGTAAGTGATTAAATCGTTAAAACCTTCAGACGGACCAAGGAAGTCTTACTATGTGCAAGTGGATCTGCATAGTGCGACACATTACAAATAGACACTGTAGTCCATTGACAACAAAATGAATAAGAGCAACGTTATAACTAGACTTGTACAAGTCTCTAAGGTAATAATTAATAGTTTCAATGATAGTTTCCAATTAATATGAATAAAAAGAACACATTGTCCCTCTAACAGACTGGCGTCCACTGTCCGCTTATCTACACTTGCTTTAAGGATAGAATTACTATACCCCCATGTGCTTAGCATTTATTACAGCGTTGGAGCAAGGCTACGTTATAACTTAATATGCATTTTGGAAACCTGACCCACACGTACACAACACATGGTCTAACGGAAGTGAGGTTGCTTTGAAAACAACCGATTTTGCAAACCTTTTACACCAGGTACCCAAGTTCATATCCGGTTGAAATTCTGTGTTAAATAATCCCATGTGTGTGTGTATGTTCACATTCTTGTCTGGGTTAGATTGTTACCTCACCGCACAAACCGGTGTAATGTATATATATGTGTAGACTTCAGACACCCAGAGGTAAATACACACACAGGCTTTCTCACAGTAACAGAAAGTGAATTATCATATATACATGCAGCAGGGCCCTTAGCATGCCTTCCAGACCATAGAGATTAAATATAAAAATGAATCCGAATAAAGACGAAAATTACTTTGCAAGTCTAGATTACCTAGGCTCCAGTAAGTCAAATTAAACATTTGTCCGTGCTCCATCGTAAGTTTAGGTAAGAGATCGATATTTCTAGGACTTAATGATAGTTTACAAGCCCCTGTGCAGCTTCAGTTCACATATCGTTTTGGAGTATATCAGTAAGCCTAACTAGGAATGATATCATAAATTCCAATTCCCCCCAAAAGAATTTTTCTGGAACAAAAAATAAGTTGGTGAAAACAACCGGACACTTCCTTTGAAAGGGGAAGAAAAAAGCATGTCCTTCAACGACAATGTAGTCGGGGTTTGTTCGAGACCAAGAACATCGACAACGTTACATGGTGGTAACAATCATAATAACGACAGCGATATGGAACTTCTGACAATTCCAGAAAGTGAGAAAGCCAAGTACAACAAAACTGCAATGATTCAGGTAGCTACTCACTGTCCTGGCTTTGGTTATAACATGATATGATCCCGTGTCAAGGTCTGTTGATGACGTGATCCTGTGTCAGTCTGTTGCTCTGGTTTGGGCTTTGATTCTTTGTTGTCTACTGTTTCATGGAACACAGGCCGCGATAAGACATTTGATAAGACATTTGATACAACAAAAACAGCTCGCGTAAAGAAATAGTTCGCAAGAGAGAAATTTGTAACTCGGCATATAATTTGCCCATAGCTATAGGGGTGTTAGTGTAATGTCAATGTGCAAGTCGTATCTCTGTGGGAAACATCCTCTTTGTAAACCTACAGCTGATCACAGTATCCTCATTACAGCATTACGCAATGATCAGTCGTCATCACAAGGATCAGAACGCATGATCTGATGTGATCAGCGCAAGGGGTCATTAAGGCTTTACAATGACTTAGTCTGGCTGATCTGCCCACTGATGGGATTAACAAGCCTTCCTAATGTGCACCTGTAACACTGAGAAGACAAAAAGGCGATATTAACTTGATAACTTAGGACGGGTATCCATGTTTTTTGGTGAATATCGTCCTTTGAACAAGCGCCCTTTACAAGAAGGTCCATAGGAGGTCAGCTTTCCTCGGTGGGTGTGTCAGATACCCTTTCCTCTTACATCACGATATTCGACTAAGTGCTGAAGATGATTAATGACGCTCATTATATCTTACATCAAAGAGGTTGTTTGTGTTTGTGCATGGGTTCATCTTGGATAGAGACATATTAAGTACAAATCGCAATTACGCCAATATTGCTTACCAACACAGTGTTAACACAAATCTTTTCCAAACCAACAACCTATTTGAAGCTCCCCATATTTAATATATGTCAATTACATTTTAAGAGGATTTCACTTTTAGTGAATAGCAAGGAGAATTCACGTTAAGATTAATTAATGTTCAGGTAATGCAGTTCAGATTCAACTGCAAACAGTCATCACCCCCTAAAAGTTAAGGTAAACATGAGGGACAACTTGCCAAGTCAGAACCAGGAACTCCAACGGACATCAGTTCAGTCAACAATATATCAAATTTGGAAATGTTCTCCATTTATCTACCACAGAGCCTTTTAAAAAGTCAGCAGTGCTTTAACAGCTTCTAACTAAGTTTACCCAAACTAGCACCCCGGTTATAAATTAGCAGACCATTGAACCATGAAGCCTAGGTTACGAAGCCCAGCAAGTCCCAAGCCGGCTTGTAGTCAGTTGCAGTAATAGGCTCATCAAGTGCGGTAAGTCCTCGCAATACCTCCAGCAGGCTTCCATGGTGTGTCTCGGTGTGTAGGATCCTGAACCCTGGTATTTGCTGATTGTGTTCAATACCAGGATCCTACTGGGAGCGACACATGTGTTCCACTATTAACAACTACTCAGTCACCACTTCAGTGAGTGATTGTATCATGATAGTATGTAGATTAAGATATTCATTCTCTTAATAGTTCAAGAACGATTGATTTGTGTTACTATATGGAGTGGTGTTTTACTTACAACGATCCAAAGAAGTGCTTTGTATAACGATTTGCATGTTGATAATTCAATAATGCACCAGGCATCTGTTTTCTATGGACTTTCACATCATCAATCCAGACTTTCACATCATCAATCCAGACTTTCACATCATCAATCCAGAGTTTCACGTCATAACTCCAGACTTTTACTTCATCTATCAAAAGCTTTCACTTTATCAATCCAGACTTTCACTTTGATCCGACTTTCACTTCATCAATCCAGACTTCCACTCCATCAATCAAGACTTTCACTCGATCAATCCTTTCACTCCATCAATCTAGACTTTCACCCCATCAATCCAAACTTTCACTTCGTCAATCCCGACTTTTACTTCATCAATCCAGACTTTCACTTCATCAATCAAAACTGTCACTTCTGATATCTCGATTAACGCATTTACAGATATTACATATTTAATATTAAACAATTTAATTGAAAGTAATCTTTCTTTGCTTTTAACTGTATCTGACATTTTGGTTCAGGTCCCACGCATGTGGAATGGTCGACGAAATGTCACAGCAAGACGCGTTAGCCAATTCATTTGTCCTCGATAATAGCTTACAGAGACCAATCATGTACAAATATAATATTCTTTTTCGTATGGCT